GGGGGCACACGGGGAAGGCAGTATAGCACAGATAAGACAAGTAGTGATTCTACAGCATCTTACTACGCTGATGGACAGTGACTGTAATGGGGTATGTGGTGGGAACTCGATAATGGGAGGAATCTAGTAACCACAATGTTGTTCATGTATGTTTATATTAATGATACCAAAAAATAAATAAATAAAAATAAAATAAAATAACAAAAAAAACGTAACAACTATGGAGAAACAAAATGTGGTCTGTGCACACAATGGAATATTACTCAGCCATAAAAAGCAGTGAAGCATGGACACATGCTACCATGTTGTACATGGATGAACCTTGAAAACATCATGCTAAGTGAAAGAAGCCAGACACCAAAGACCACGTATTGTATGGTTACATTTATAGGAAATGTGCAGAATACAGAAATCCATGGAGTCAGAAAGCAGATGAGTGTTTTTCATGGGGGCAGGGGAATGGGGAGTGACTGCTGATGGGTGTGGGGTTTCCTTTGGGGGATGAAAGTGTTTTGGTACTAGATAGAGGTGGTGGTTGTACACCATTGTGAATGGACTAAATGCCACTGAGTCGTTCATTTTAAAGTGGTTCATTTTATGTTATGTGAATTTTACCTCAATTCTTTAAAAAAAAACAACTAACTCAGGGTATCACGTATATGTGCTATTTGGTCTCCACATGAACTCTAGTCTCTCATTCATTACTGAGTGCTAATTCTGGGCTAGGCACTGTGCCAGGCATGAAGAATAAAAAGATGCCTAGATCAATATCCCTGCTCCCAGGGAAACAAGAGCTCTCCTACATAAGTGGGAATATAAGTAAGCACAAGCTTTCCAGACAGTAATTTAGCTGTATCTATCAAAATTTTAAATGTACATACCCTATGGCCCAACAATTTCACTTTACAACTTTTTCCTAGAGGAACAATAGCAAAAGTAAAGAGAGAGAATGTAAATTCACATTCATCGTGGCACTGCTATTGGCAAAAAATCTAGAAACATAAATATCCATTAATATAGACATTGTTAAACATTATGACACAATCATATAATGAAACACTATGCTACTTTCAAAAAGAAGGAGGTAGACTTGGGAAAGTGATAAAATTTTGTGAAAAAAGCAAATTGCGAAACAGTTCATACAGCATCGCCTGGATTGTATGTGTGTGTGTCTTTGTGTACAAAGAAAAGTCTGGAGGAATAGTCTCCAAATTGAAGAATGGTGATTCTGGAGGTGAGGTTTGGTTGAGGAGGGACTTTCACTGTTTGACTTACACAGTTCCAGACTGGGTCACCGGCAAGACTTTAGAACTGTTAAGATGCAGACAAAGCCTTGACAATGCAGAACTTAATTAGATGATAGTTAAATATCTAAGAGAGTCAAAGAAATACAGGAAACAATGGAAGCAAAGAGAGAAGTGAGCTGTAACTTTGAGGGCCCCTGACTTCCACTGGAAGTGAAGAATGGTTGTGCAAGCAGGTGACAGGAAACTTAGGAACTGTGGGCTATGAGCTCCCTCTTTTTATGAAGCCCTTGTTACAGTATGTCCCATCAGTGTCCTAATTGGCTGGAACCAAGTCTGTGTACTAGCCGAGGGCCTGTCTGATCTCTGTCACTTGAGAAACTTAATCCCACTGAAAAATAGCCCCAGAAATTCACTTGGAAGGCAGTCGTAAAATTGCTGGGAATGACATAATGATATCCTTAATTTGAAAACATAACTTATCCCTGGGAATATTTAGAATTAAAAATAGAGAAGATGAAGCCAGTCAAATTTGCGCTATTAACACATTTGTGATCAGAGAATTTGTTCTTTTTTTAGGAATGGCTGATGTTTAAGAGAATTTAACATATCAGAGTCTCTAACAGATTAGATTTGTGATTCTAATCTAAAGTACATAATGATTTAGACTTGTGATTTTAAATTCAAATTGTATTAGGTTTATAAACAATATTAGAACACTTAAGAGAATTGAAGATTTGCCACATTTATGTCTAATTTATTAGATTTGCAAGAATTAAGTACAGGTGAAAGATTTGTTAATCAGGCTACTAATGAACTTAAACATGATAGCAAATATATTCAATTTCTAAATGCAGCTTAAATGTTTAAAAGGAGTTAATAATCAAATTTGTAAGTGGGACCAAACATTAATCAAAGCCCTTTTAAGGCAACTGCAAAAATATGCTAGATTTATAAATAGAGTAAGATTTATAAGTTGAACGAAAAGCTTAAGAATTACAGTTTTTAATTTATCACTTTAATAAAGTGAATATTTATTCCAAAACCAACTAACTTTTTCTGTGTCTTAATGTCATCATTTGTGAGGTCATGAAACTCATATTGACATGTCATTTGAATTGTTAATTTCAAATAAGCTTTACTATATAACTTAAAAAGAAATCACTACGAGAGTCACCCTCCGTCTATTGGGAGAAACAGCTTTATAGACAAGAAAACAGCAAAGAATAAACACTTTGTAAGGGGCCAGCTCTGCTTGTGGAGAAGGACTATCAGCAACAGCTTTAGAGCAGAGACACACTGAGGGACCCACTCTTGCAGGCTTTGGACTTCCCATTGCAGGAGATAATAACCTTCCACCATGTGTAAGCAGAACGTCCCGTTCCTTGTATCTGAAAGCATGTAACAGCTACAGATGACTGCTAGGCATGCAGATGGGGAATTTCACTTTCTGGGGTAACCGTTGGTACAGCTATGCTGTGAGGTGTGTATTCCCTGTGACACAGGCTGCGTTGGCAAGGAGCGGCCTCTGAAGGGTGGCAAGCAGGGGAGCAATTCAATCAGATTTGGCGTTTGGGAAATGATCACACTCAAAATGCTGTGGAGAAAAACCACATGATAATACATGATGATATCCATATATGTGTAGTTAAAACAACAGCAAATGTTCTAAAAGGAAACATACCCAACAGACTGCCTCTAGGAAGAAGACTAGGACTGGAATGGTAGTAAAAGGAGACTTAAGCTTTGCTTTGAATTAAAATGTATTAAGACAATTTTTAAAAAATCAACAGATGAATGGATAAACAAAATCACTACATCTGTGCAATGAATCTTAAAAACCATAAAAAGGAGTGAAGCACTGACAGACACACACTACAACACGGGAGAACTTTAAAAACATGACTGAGTGATAGAAGCCACCACAAAAAGCCACATATTATGGGATTCCACTGACACAAAATGTTCAGAATGGGCAAATCCATAGAGACAAAAAGCAGATCAGAGGCTACCAGGGGCTAGGGGAGGGGGAATGGGGAGCTCATCAGTACAGAATTTCTTTTGGGGGCGATGAAAATGTTCTAGAAATAATGGTGATGGCTGCACAACATTGTGAATGTAATTAATGCCACTGAATTATACATTTTTAAACAGTTAAAGTGGACAGTTTTATGTTATATGTTTTATTACAATAAAAATAATCAATGTCACAGAGGCTGGGTTGAAGAGTGAATCCACAGGGAGAGTCCCCGGGAGACCAGGCAGGGGGCTGCTATGAGAGCCCAGGCTGCAGAGGTGGGCAGGGCTGTAGGGACGGGGTCAGAAGTCCTTTGGGAGGTAGATGCCTCAGGACTGTGGACATTTTAGCAGGAGATGCCATGGGGCATGTGGGAGAATGTCCTCCAGCAGTTTCCTCATCAGTAAATAGAGGAAACCCTGAGATGGTTGTGCTCTCACGTCCTAGATCTGGTCCTGGCTGGAGAACAATACCAACAGCATCCTCATCATCTCAGGCCACAGTTAAGGAATGGCCAGAGGAAACTGAGCCTGAGTAGAGCCTGAGAAGGAACAGACAGCAAGCAGGATGAGAAACCAGGGGGACATGGTAGCCGAGAAGCCAAGAGAAGAGAGGGTACCAAATGCCACTGAGGTCAGGTAAGATGAGGACCAGGTAACATGGCCTATGGAGGTCTCCGGTCACCTGGGGGGGAACAGTTCCTGTGTCCTAGAACATTCAACGTAACTTTCAGAACACTCAAGAACATTGAATGTAACTTCTTCCTATTCTTGCCCACTTGGACACATCCAACCCCACAGCCCTACACTCTTACACACCCAACCAGGGCCTTGCCCATGAATCTAGCACCACTCTCTGCCTCTAGGACCTGGAGTTAAGAAAGAAAACTCATCTGTGAGCTCTATCATGGGCCAGGTACTGTTCTCTACTGTCTTCAGAATAATCCTGTAAGGTTGTGTTATGGGTTGAATTGTGCCCCCTCAAAACTCATGTCCACTCAGAACCTGAGAATGTGACCTTATATGGAAATAGGGTCTTTGCAGATGTAGTTAGTTAAGATGCAATCAGACTGGATTAGGGTGGACCCTAAATTCAATGACTGGTGTTCTTACAGAAGAAAAGACACAGAAAGGCAGATGAGGAAAATGCCACGGGCAGATGAAAGCAGAGACTGGAGTGATTAGTCTACTAGCTACCAAGGACGGCCGGCAGCCCACAGAAGCTAGGAGAGGAGTGTGGGACAGATGGCCACCAGAACCACAGAAGGAGCCAACCCTGCAGACACCCTGATTTCAGACTTCTGGCCTTGTGAACTGTGAGAGAACAAATTCCTGTTATTTTTAAGCCACCCAGCTTATAATAATTTCTTATAGCACCCCAAGGAAATCAAAACAGTAGGTATGATTAGCCTCTTGTTTTTTTTGCAGAAGGAAGTCACGTAACTTCTCTGGGTCTCCAAGCTGGGTTAGTGTGAGTCAGCCCACTCTGCTCTGGGACACTGCGAACCCAGTTTCTAGGCTTAAATAGCAAACAATTGTAAAGGGGAAATTCATCAAGGTAATGTCACTCCATCAGGCCTCAAGGCAACAAGACAACCAGCCTTCCCTGGTAACCTCAACCCTCACCCTGCATCACTGGCGTCTGCACCCTAGAACTGCACTGCTCATTTTTTGCTGGTTGCAAGGGCAGACATTCCATAAAAATTAGGGGGAAAAAAGTGACTGCGCCAAACCTACCCTGTGAAAGAGTCCCAGATAATTATCAGGCAGCTGGGCCCTTTGTCGGCAGTGGCAATCCATCGCCTATCTTCGCTGACGCAGAGGCAGGAGATCACATTAGGGTGGCCCTGCAGAAATGAAGAGAAAATGCTACATCAAGGATGTGGCTGGGCCCCCAAGAGAGAACTGAACTCCTCTTCCAGGCTCATCAGGCTGAAAATCCTCCTGACAGCCTTCCCTGGTGTTTCTCCAGAGCCAGTGGTTTTCCCACTTTCTCTCCTTCAGAACATCTGAAGGATAAGCTACACCCTCTGCAAGAACAGTAGCTTCCTAGGGGTCTAGGCATGTACCCAACTCTAAACCAGGGCTGAGAATAAATTTCAGGGTTGTCCCCCACCACTGTTCCCCTTGAACCTCCCTGCTGCCTCACCTCCCTAAAACAGGGATCACATCAGGTCACTGAAAAGGACAACTGACCTACTTGGTAATTTCAAGTCAGGGACCTACATGTAACACCCAACTTCACCATTAGCTAGTGCAGTTTTGGGCAAGTCAGTTATATCACTCCAAGACTCAGTTTCTTTTTCTGTAAAATGGGGATATTAACACTCACTTCTCATCATGATTATGAGGATCAAAGCCCTTTGAAACCAAGTGTTAATGAATCTGAATCCCTGCTAACGCCCTATGTGTCTCCCCACATTCTATGGCCACATTTTTATAAGAATGTGTAAAAAATACAGGTGTTTTTAATTCTTGTTACTATAAAATGAAAATCAACTTCTGTTTGTACATTGATTCTGATTAGAATCAGAGAGACAATGAACAATAAAATGTGTTTCTAAAGACAGGATTTGCCATAGTTCAGAAGAGAGGTAGGAAAACATGATAGTGGTATAATGAGGTCAGCCCTTAAAATAAATGACAACATGCTATATGCAAGTTAAAAACAATCTCTTCTGCTTGTAGTAAGAAAAATCCGCATACCTGAAGATGATGCTGATTATTCTTGAAAACATTGTAGATGACTGCAGTGTGAGCACAGACATACAGAAGAACTCTTTGGTTTTTGTCTCCAATATAGTAAACAGGAAGAGAACTGTTCCACCCGAATGACCAAGTTTGGGTCTGGAAGACAAAGGTGAAACCAGGAAACATCAGTGTGCCAAGCCCAGAGCTGTGAGGCCAGGCACTCCTGGCAGGAGTCCTTTGTGGAGAAGCATTTCGCATCACCAGTCCAGTAAAGAGAAATCACTTTAAGACAAAGTCCTCAACACATGCTATGATGTGAATGACCTTGAAAACATGATGCTAAGTGAAATAAGCCAGACACAAAGGCCAATAGAGTATGATCCACCTGTATGAAAAGTCCAGAATGGGCAGATCTGTAGAGACAGAGAGTAGTTTAGTGGTTGCTGGGAGCTGGGGGAGGTGGAATGAGTGACTGGTGGTGGGTATGGAGCTCTTTCTGGGGTGATGAAAAATGGTCTGGAATTAGACAGTGGTGATGGTTGCACAACCTTGTGACTGTAAAAAACAACAACAATGAATTGTACACTTTAAAGGGTAAATTTTATGAGGATGTGGAGAAACTGGAACCCTTGTGTGCTCTGGATAGGAATGCAAAATGGTGGAGCTGCTACGTAACACAGTACGGAAGGTCCTGAAAGTTGAAAATGACCCAGCAATTACACTTCTGGGCATATCCTGAAAAGAATTGAAAGCAGGGTCTCAGAGAGATATTTGTGCACCTGTGTTCACAGCAGCATATATGACAGTAGCCAAAAGGTAGAGACAACCCAAGCATCCATCAACAGATGAATGGATAAACGCAAGGTGAATATTATTCAGCCTTTAAAAGGAAGGAGATTCTGCCACACATTGCAAGATGGATGAACTTTGATGACATTAGGTAAGTGAAACACAGTCACAAAAAGGCAAATACTGTATGACTCCAAGTACATGAGGTACCTAGAGGAGTCAAATTCATAAAGACAGACAGTAGAGTGGTGGGTGGGGGCCCGGGGCTGGGGTCACTTAATGGTTAGAGAGTTTTGGTTTTGCAAGATGAGTTCTGGGGACTGGTTGCACAGAAGTGTGAATGTACCTAACACTGCTGATCTCTACAATTATAAATGGTTAAGATGGAAAATTCTACTTTATATGTTTTTTACAATTAAAAATGTGAATTTTACAATATGTAAATTATAACTCTATTAAAAAAGAAAGTTTTCAACCGTAAAGAGAAACAACCTCCTATTCTCTCACTTCCCAGAACCTAGACCTAGCTCAAGACCAGACACACAGTGAGCACGTAATGTGAAATTCAGTTTACTTCATGCAAGTCCATAGCATGGACAAGTTATAATAAAGTCACTAAGAAACTTAGTAAGACAGGCAATTATTGAGCAGAGGTATCTGGTCCTTACATGCCATTTTCCTTGGAAGGATGAAGTATAGAAAGACAAAATTCCATATTGCCAGAATAAATCCAAAATAAAAAATTTATGAAGTGCAATTTATTTATGTATATTTTTGTGTTCAAGGTCTTTTTAAAAATTACAGATAAACTGTGGTCCATTCACACAATGGAATAATACTCAACAATTAAGAAGAAGTGAGCAGGCAAGCCATGAAAAGACATGGAGGAACCTTAAATGCACATCACTAAGTGAAAGAAGTCAGCAAGAAAAGGCTACATACTGTATGATTCCAACCACGTGACATTCTGGGAGGGCAACACCATGCAGACAATAAGAAAAATCAGGGCTTGCCAGGGCCTGGGGGAGTAGGTAGGGTTAGAGTTAGGGATGACTGGGGAGTGGGGCACAGGATTCTTAGGGCAGTGAGATGATGCTGTGTGATGCCACGCTGGTAGATACATGGTTTCACATATTTGTCAAGTCCCAGAGACTACAATATGAGTGAACTCAAAGGGAAACAACAGACCTGTTAATAATAACATATCAATATTGATGCATCAATTATAACAAGTGTACTATACTAATACAACGTATTTAAAAGAAGGGGAAACTAGGGGTGGAAGAGGCACAAGGGAGTATACAGGAACTGTACTTTTCACTCAGTTTTTCTATAAAGCTAAAACTGCTCAAAAAAATAAAGTTCATTTAAGAAATTCACTAAGGCCAATTAATTGAAGGTAGTAGAGGTAGAGTGTTTAAAGAGATGACTAACTGATTAGTTACTAAAAATCAGTGAGTTATATTGGAGTATAAAAAATGAAATCTGCTGTTTCCTTTCTTATCTCTGACCGACACTTCCAAGGTTAAATGGATGTGCCCTGTATCTCTCCCGAGATGGACAGCGTGAGCAATGTGGCCCATTTCTCTCTCCTACACTCTTCACTCCCCATTCTCTCCTATTTCCATCTGCTCATTCCCTGTAATTTATATTTATATTTAGGTCTCTTATTGTGTGGGTGTGAGTGATAGAATTACAGAATCATAACTGTCTCAAGCTGCAACTTCGAGGAACAAAACTATTTAATAATTAGCTGGCTCTTAAAAACCAGCTTCTTCAATGAGATTGTTCTCTTTGAAACCTGCTAATCCTAAATAACATTTATTTATCTCAGAAATTTACTTTACCATTTAACTAACTAGTTATGAAAAGAAAATATTCCTAACTAGACTCCTTTCTGACATCAAACCTTTCTGACATCAAACAACCTTTCTGACATCAAAACCAGGCTGAATTTACTGGGTTGTCACAGAACGTCCTTACTCAAGAGGCTTCACGTTAACTGAAGTCTCATAGTATCAATATTGTATTTTGTGCCAGATTTAACATTCATAGTGAATGATCATAGAGATAGCCACCTCTTGCATCAATCTTTTTTTTAAATATGGTGATCTTGGAAACAAAACTTTATTGTCAAAACCCAATTTTGCTGAATTTGATCGTCATAGGATTCCCTCTCATAAATGCGTGATAACTTGTTTCTTGGCTGGAGATGATATCTATGGTATGCCTATTTACCATGAGCACTGTGAGTTATTAGAGGCCTTTGGAATAAGGCAGGACATCCCAGAGGAAAAGGAGGGTGCTGCATGCACAGGGATTGCTGGAGGAGCACACTCACTTGAAGTATCATTGGTGACAGCCAGAAATTGGAAGCAACGTAAATGGCCATCAATAGGGAAACAGGTGAATTTAAAATAAGGAAGGGGATCTACATGCACTGATATAAAAAATCCTCTGAGATGTATTAAGTGGAAAAACATTTTGCAGAAATGCAGAATATCTCACTGGCAAAAAAATACCCTAAAACTAAATGTATGTCGTGTGCACATACATAACATGTTTGCACACAGATAACATGTTTGTTATGCACAGGAAAAGCTCTGGAAGATACACAGTTATGCCAAACTGTAACAGCAGCCACTCAGAGAAAGGGGATTGGGGTGGGAGTGTGTACAAGAAGAGCAATCTTTGCTTTTGCTGAATTTTTTTTATGAAGAGCATCATTAATTTTAGCAAAAAACCAACAACAAAGGTGAAAAGAAAGGGGAAAGAAAGAGGAGGATGTGCCCAAAGAACTAAACAAATCTACAAAGGGAGATGGCCTAGGACATTTTGGTTCTGAGGTGAGCCCAAGGCTAGCAGGAGACCCAAACCTGGGCAGTGGCTTTTGTCAAGTCCGGACAGCTGGGGCCTGGACACAAAGACCACTTGCTCTCATAAGTGATGTTAACCTGCTTTCTACTTTGCTGGATCAACAAGACAAAAGTCTTCTAAGACTCAATTATTCTTTCTTTCAGACTGAGCAGTTGCCAGCTTTAAACTTTAATGCTGCTGCTCAAAGTAGGCCTAAGCTACAGACCGGAGGCTGTCAGTGCCTGCGACTCCCACTAGGCATTTTGTCATCATCATCGCCACCATCATCATCATGTAGTTGTTAACACTTGTCTAACTGCTCACTGTGTGTTAGGAACAACATTAGGTATTTTATATACACTCACTCATAAATCTTCCAAAGGCACGAATCTGCAATGAAAAAGAAAAAAAAAGAATCCTAGGAAACAATTTTTGGAAAGTAGCAGATGGAAGAAGGAAAAAAGCCCTCCTCTTCCCTCTCTTGGCAAGTGATCATATTCTTACTCGTCACAGATGGTGCCTCCTGGAGCACTGTCAGAGGCAGCAAGGACAGGTTCCTTTCGACTACCTAGTATTTTTCACAGTGACTTTCACTTTTGCCTACCTTTCACTTTCTGATCCATCTTGGAATGGAGTTTTAGAAGCCTGGAACAGTTTTAGGAGTTTGTAAAGGTGTCAGGACAGTAAGGCAGAAGAAGTGAGGAGAGGGGGTAAAGGGAAGGAGTTGGTGGAAAGAGGAGAATATAACAATGTGAGAGAGGAGAGGAGAAAGGAGGAGGGGGAGAGATTGAGGTGGAGTCTCCCAAAAGAAGCAGCACCCCATGCAACAGGAAAACCATGTTTGGGACCTCCTGCCTGCTGAGCAACACTGTTGAACCTAGATGCAGCAGTCATGTCCATGCTGCGTCACACATGTCCAGCCAGAGCTCTGAACTGAACAATAAAAGACACAAGTCTCTTAGTAGTTTAAAAAAGGATCTTTCTAGTTGTGTTTTTTTTCCCCATATACATAAAACTCCCCTGTTTCACAATACTCTCAAAGCTCTGGGGGAAATTAAAAGGCATGTTACACTTACCAAGGGATACACGTTGGCACTGTCATCCTTTTGAAACAAAATGTCCTCAGTGCTGGTGGACACCAGTGAGTCCTCTGGGATCCCTGCTTTGGGCTGGAATATTTCTTCTTTCTCCTCAATTAAGTATGATATTCTTTTTTCTTGTCTCCTTTCTCCCTTTTCTGAGTCTGAGTCTCTCCTTTCTTGTCCCAATTCGTGTTGGGACAACTGGTTGGTTTTCCCTCCAACCTCACCTGAGGACTGCCTTTGAGAGCAACTAATCTGTGGTTCCTCAGAACTGGATTGATCCAAATCAAGAAATGCTAATTGTGAGCTCAGGTCTCTTGCAAGCTCATGTGTTCCTGAAAGTTTAGATGGTAATGAGTGCTTCAACTTGCCATCACTGTGGGATTTCTTAAAAAAGAAATAAAAAATTATAATTCCAAAAACAGCACGTGCTGCTACATTTCCTAATTTATTTCCCTCTCTATTCCTAATCAGCCAGTTTGTCAGCCTCACATTGGAATTATGAAGTATTTTTAAATGGAGGCTGGGGTATTTTGTACTTAAATAACATGAATGATGAGTGTGCCAGGTTAACTCTTGGCCTACTAGCAGACCTACAACATCAAAGTCACTCTTCTAAGTGGCACTGGTGGTCTCCAAAAGATAGTTAGTCACAGAGAATCACTGCTCCTTGGACCAGAGCTGAGTTCTACAGAGTCTGTGGGAAGCCTACGTTGCTTCCTCACACTAACTCTATTCTAAGATAAGCACACTCCAGCTAAGCCCTTTAAGTAAGTCAGGTCTAGCATACACCTCCTCCAGGAAGCTTTCCCTGATCATCCTCCAAGCTGACTTAAGTCATCCCTTTTTTTTAAATCTCCTATGTATCTCTAAATCACTACACATAACATATTGCTTTATAATGTTCTATTATGGGTCTGCCTCCTTACACCCCTAGAGCTCCTTAAGAGAATGCATTATATAGTATTTGGTTTTATATCCCCACAGCCTGGTGTATAGAACTATTCAATTACTGATTTTGAAATAAATATTACTCACTGGGATAGTTCCTGACAACACTGCCTGGGAATCAGTCAGCGTAAGTCTCTCCAAACTGATCATGGACTTGGTTATTTCTTGGGGTTCTGTTGTGGTTTCTTCCTGTATTCCTGCAGCCACCACCTCCTGTGGGGCTCCAGGCTTTTCTTCCATTTCTCCTCGGACAGTCTCCTCTTCCTCTTCCACATCTGCTTCCCTCTCTTCCTCCACCTCCCCTTCTTCCTCTTTCTGCCCCTTCTCCCCTTTCTCCATCTCCCTTTTCTCCCCCTCCCCCTCCCCCTCCTCCTCCTCTGCCTCCTCCTCTTTCCCCACCTCTCTTTCCTCCTCCTCCCTCTCCACCCCTTCTTCCTGCTCTTTCTCCACTTCTCCTTCCTCTTCCTCCACCCCATCCCTGACTTCTCCTTCCCACTCTTCCCCCTCCTCCTGAGACTCTCTCCATGCTAATGTGTCATCTTCTTTTGATTCCTGTTGCATGTTTTTTGCCTCTTTATAATCTGGATTTTTCTCTTCTTCCATTTCTGTTTCTCCATCTTCTGTTTCTTCTAGTGGGTTTTCCTCTGCATCTGACATTCTTCTCTTTGGAGTTTTCTCTAGAGAAATTTTGACCATGATAATTAGCAGCACCCTCTGTTTCCCATTTTGATCTCCTAGAGCACTAGCCTACTGATGGAATGTGCAATACCAGCTCTGGCTCCTTTCCACGGGAATAAAAAGAATGCCCTTTTCCCAGGAAAACCTGTCCCACATATTAAAAATGTTGATCTTGGGGTCTCTTGTTTTCCTAACTTTAGAACTCTCTCATTTTAAATACATACATATTCCTACAGGGAGCAAAATGATAACCCAGACATTAGCAACTATTATAATAATATGAATAAGGGAAGAAGCAGTGTGGCTAGTGGTTAAAAGTGTGGGCTTTAGCCTCTCCTAGCATTGAATCCCTGCCCCACCACTCACTTGCTCTGAGAACTTGGGCAAGTCACCTTACCCCTCAGGGTCTAGATTTGCTCACAGGCATAATAAAAATGATAACCCTCAACTCTGGACTGTGTGAAGATTAGATGAGATGATGTAAGTAAAATGCTCAACACAGTTACAGCACAGAGTGCTTGAGAAATAATAGCAATTGCTTAGAAAGTTTAAAACTTATTCTCTCATTTGTTCCTACAACAAGCTTAAAAAGAGTTTGAGACTGAGACTGAACGACTTAGGCAAGATCACACAGTTGGAAGCAGCCCTCTCTGACGCTCAGTTCCTCAGCAGTATTCCTAAAAAATTACAACTATGATTGCAAGCCGAGAGCCCTCAGCACAGAACCCGCTCCGACCGACAAACTCTGCCAGTAGGCCACAGTTAGGGGGTCGAGAAAAGGGCAGCAGGTGTGTGGGCCTGCGGGGCGCCACGCCCAGGCCCGGCCCTCCCTCAGCTCCGGGCTCCCCGAGGCCGCCCAGGCCCAGCCGGGGTGGGGTGAGAGTTCCCCGCCCCCGACTCACGGCGTGCGCCCTCTCTGGTCCTCAGAGGCCGGGGTTGTCCCGCCGCCTGCACCCCCCACCTCCCGCCGGGCCTCCAGCCGCCGCAGCTTTCTCCGTCACCTGCTCCCTAGTTACGGTTGCCACCCAAGCCTCATCCCGTGGTAACCGCCGCAGCTGCGGGCGGCGAGCCGTAAAGCAAGAGCGCTTAACGGCGGTCACGTGCCCAGGACGCGGCCGCGAGCGGGGTCGGAACGCCCCCTGCAGTCCAGGGAAGAAGCGCCTCGGCGACTCGGGCGGAGAAGTTGGTTTTCCTGGGTCTTGCCTCCTTGTTCTCTCCACTTTTTCCCATGGTGTCATCCATTGAGAAGCTGCACCACCAATACTAGCAGTTTTGACTTTCTGGACTTGACAAGATTAAGTGAATAAATATAGTAAGTTTGAAAAAATTCTCTGCCAAAAGCAAACTAAATTTCCGGGGTTCATGAATGCAGCACATGGCTGTCTTGCACACCGTCTCACCGAGGCACTAGCTGTGTAAAGACTTTTAGCTAGCTGGGATTAAGTATTTCATAAGTTACATTATCCTTCTGTTCTTATCACAAAACGGTTCTGCAAAACCAGTTTGGTTCAATTTCTTAGGATCATTCCACTTAAAGTTACTCTCTGCTAGACTCAAGAAGCCGCACAAGTGGCCCACCCTGAGGTTTCTTGGGCGAAGCCTGCAGGGAACCAGTCAAAGGCATTGTTGCAAAAAACTTTGCTGCTTTCATTTGAGGAGAATGTAAATGATTCTCCATCTTCCCCACTCACGTGCCCCAATGCTAGCTGATTAATATGTATACATCTCAAATAAACAAACTGGATGATACAAGCCATTTATTATAGTCTAGGATTATAAAAGTGATTGAAATACACCTGGGAGTTAGAAAACAATTTAAGCAGCAAACAATGGTAAACAGCATGTCTGTGGCTACAGGGATAATACATGGTGGATGCAGGGCTAGGGTAGTTTGCCGGAAGTCAGCCAGCTGATCTTGAGGACCCATGGCTGGAAGCATACCCCAACACTGACAACTGTCAGGGCAAGCTGGTATGTGTATCCAACCCAAGAAAATCCAGTCCTGAGGAACACAGGCATGCCTCAGCATAATGTGCCAGACCTCCTCTGAAACAGAAAGGGATCTGCAGGAACTTTGGAAATAAATACTGTGATATGGTGAAGAGAGACAGAAGGTAAAAAACAGTCACTAGGAACCACTGAAACCCATTTTACCCTATTAAAGAAAGAAAATAAAAGGAGAAAGGAATCAGCATTTTCAAGAAGTCAGATCCACACATATTTCAGCAACATCAAGCACACCTTACCAGCTTATAAAACAGTGCTCATCTGAGAGCATGGCCAGGAAGCTCAATTATAAAAAGCCAAATTAGAAGCTAACTTCTGGTTCTTTTATTCCAGAAGTGAGGAGACCTTGCTGCCCACTGGTAGATATCAGAAGAGGAAGCCAAAATCACTCTGGGCTACCTGGGGAGCCTGACTCCCCCTTGGCCCTGCAGGTCCAACTGCTGAGGATGTAACTTCTGTATCCCGAGCAGCAATGCTGCAGTACAAATGCAGATGGTGGTGCAGCCTGCATGTTTGGAAACCCCATTCACTGAAGGCTGACATTCTTGAGGGGTTGGTTAAATCTTGACTTCAGCACAACTGTTGGTTTGTTCTGCCCAGTTTTCTATAAAGATATTCTAACTCCCATCTGAGCTTGGTTTGAGAGGTTCATAAGAAATTCATCTGGAGTGATAACATTGTCATTTCAGCACTGTAAAACTATTTATTTGGAGGGAAAAAATTACTGAAAGAATAGTTTTATCAGCACCTGCCAGAATAACTCCTGCCCACCTGCCCACAATCCAGAGGGTTCCCATTAAATGCCATGGCCTAATTTGCAAAAGATGCTAAGCACAAATCAAGTTTTTATCAATGCTTTAATCCCAACTAAGTACACTGGGAGACCACAGCACTTCCACCACCTAGATGCTCAGGCTTCCAGCCTCTTCCAGATCCTTTTACTTCAAGGAGAGAATAGAAGGAGGAAATCTCCACTAGACCCAAGTCCGGGCCAAGGGAAGATGCTTTCCTCTTATGTTGCCCAGGGACAGTCATCTTTGCAAAGGAATAATGTTGCAGCTGGAAGACAAGAAGGAAAGGAATGACATAAGTTTGCTGGCTCCATTCAGGAAGATCTGAGGTGAGCCCTCCTCAGCTTTCAACTATATTCTTGTTATTTTAAAGCAACTGCCCAGTTAATGCAACAACCAGAGAGACCAGGGCTCCGTCCACCTCCATACCTGCATCTCATTCTGCCACAAGTATTTACCACAAGTTTGTACAGGCTGTCTGGGGATTCCCATCATTTCACAAGAACCCCACCTCTTCCTGCAGCTTCCTGTGTAAAAAACACCCAATTGACACTACAGTGTGAGTGATACTTTACCCCAGCAGTCCTCTGCCCGCCCAGCTGGTTGGGACAAGTCTAAGCTGGTGTTTCTCCCCTCTTCGGATCACTGTCACATTCAGGGGCTTCTGAAAGGAAAATAAGCCCATTTTAGTTCAAAGAGATTCAGGCTAAAATGCTAAGATGCTGATTTGTGCACATCAGATAGGTAAGGATGCTTATATTAAGCAAAATCCTGCAGTTGGTGAGAATGTTGGGGAAGTAGCACCTTAAGGCAGCCAGTGGGGCCGCAAATCAGTACCACCTTCCTGGAGAAACAGGTCTCCCCCGACAAAAAAATTTTTTAAAGCCGCATACAAAACACATTTTTCAAAAGTACAAAATGATATATGAATGAAGCGTTCACTTCAGTATTGTTTATAAATTCAAAAACTGAAAAACCAAAATACCACTCCATAAGGTATTGTTCAAATATAGTATCGTGAATGAAGCATTTTTAGTAAAAACAAAACCAGCAAAGTACAAACCCATCTGAATATATGTTCTAAAAGGACATGTATTGCTTTATGCATACAAAGTTTTCTGGAAGATACACAACAAAACCGTTAACAGTGGTTACTTCCAGAGAAAAGCACAAGTAGTTTTGAGTAAGAGAAGATGATGACATTTACTTTTATATCTTTCTGTGCCATTAATTTTTTTTACCACATATATGTAAATTACTTTAATTTTAAGAAGTAGGTAGAATACACACCAAGGAAAATTATAGATTAAAGTCAAGATGCATCAAATTAAGAACTTACATCAAAGGACACTACAACAGACTGAAAAAGCAACCCATGGAATGGGAGAAAATATTTCAAATCATATGTCTGACAAGGGATTAATATCCAGAATATATTTTAAAAACTCCTACAACTCAACAATGAACGGAGTTCACAGCACAGTGGAGCATGGATGAACATAGAAAGAAGTGAGCCCCAGATTCACTCAACAACATGGAAGACTCTCAGATGTTAGATGCTGGGGGAAAGGAGCCAGACTTACAAGGCAGTATGCACTGGGAGGTTCCATTTACATGACAATCTGGAAAAGGTAAAACTATAGAGACAAAGTGCAGATCAGCGGTTATCTGGGGTGTGGTTAGGGGGAGGGTCAACCACAAAAGGATAGGAGGCCATTTTGGAGAGACAATGGAACTGCCCCTGTATCTACAATACAGTGGCAGTTATCTGACTATAAACATTTGTCAAAATTCACAGTACTGTACACCGAAAAGGGTGAATTTTACTGTAGGAAAACTACACCTTAATAAACACAACCAGTAGCTCTATATGCTGGTGTATGAACAGACTATCTGTAGGTGGACACACAGATGGAAAAGTGGCTACCTCTGGAGGATAGCACTGGATATGGAATAGAGGGAGACTTCCCATTACATGTTCTTTGATTCTTCTGTCTTTACCAGGTGCATGTATTACCTCATCCAGGAGAAAAGAAACATATTTCCAAAATAAATGAGTAACAGTGAGCCCAGACAACTGCAAAGTTTGAAAGTATGTACATTAAGGTACATAAGAGACATGAATGAGCCATAACAGCTAGAAAAGATGGAGGGAAAAGGAGGGAAAAAGAGAGACTTTGGGTAAACACAGTGAATCTGTACCACCTCCAGAAACTTCACTAAAATGACGATGGAACAGTAAAGGGATTACAAAGGTATACCACCACCACAAGGACAAATAACAAAACGGGAAAGGGGACTGCAAAGATGAGAGATGGCAACAAAATGAAAATGCTTAGAGAATCTACACAAGTAGTCACTGACCTAGTAGAGAAAACAGAAACCCTGTGTGATGGTTTTAGAATATGCCCATAAATTCTTTGATATTCTTTCCTTCAATAGGTAAAGGCTAATTCCCCTCCCTTTGAATGCTACCTTAGGGACTGGGTCAAGGAAGCCCACTGCTCCCCTTGGCTCTCTCCTGGATCGCTCACAATGGGAGCAGCTGCCATGCTGAGAGGGCACCCAAGCAGCATGATGGAGAGGCCTTCATGAGGAGGAACTGAAGCCTCCTGCCAACAGCCATGTGAGAGAGGCATCTTGGAAGCAGATTTTCTAACCTCAGTCAAGCCTTCAGGTGACTGCAACCTCATGAAAGACCCTATGCCAGAACCATCCATCCTAAGCTAAAACATCCTTGATGCCAATCTTCAGAAACTGTGAGAGATAATAAATGTTTGCTGTTTTAAGCTGTTATGTTTTAGGGTGATTTTTTCACTTATCAATAAACAACTAATATACCCTCCGTGGCAAAAGGATAAAGGGAAGCTGATACAGAACAAATGGATTTGTTCCAGGGAACTCCAGAAGGGTTCAGAACAAACAGACTAATGAAACAGAATAAAGAATGTCAAAGGACTGGGGAAAAAGATGGCAGCGTGAGAAGTGAAGCAGAACCTCCTCCCAAAACCACATATAACATGAAAACACAGCAAATACAACTAATCCTGAAAGAGTGGCTCAAAGACTATGGAACAGAAAAGAGAAAACCTCACAAAAAAGGGTAAAGTAGCAAAGCCATGATCCAGCAGAACCCAAGCCCTCCCCCCACCCCAGCCCACAGGCGGGAGGAAGATAAACGGAGCAGGGAGGAAGAAGCAGCCCAGGACTGCTGAACACCCAGCCCTGGAGATCTGCTCCAG